ACCATACCGCCTCGCAACCAGCCCCTCCCCTAAAACCCTGCGAATTATTTTACCATTACTCAAGATATGCATAATTTTAAAAAATCTCTTTGTCAAAGACGACCATTTCAAAGGACAAAAAATGAGTAAGGCGTTCGTTTAGCTAGAGCGCGGTATATACTACGCTGGCCTGGCGAAATTGTTGAGGCTCGCGGCGTGTATAGTAGGTATAGTAGCGCGAAGAACACGCGGCGCCGACCAGAATCGCAGAGTGCGTGGAACTGAGGGTGAAGGCCATGGGCCATGGCCTGGCCAGACCGTCGTGCCGTGTATGGGTCGTGGCGCATGGCGAGGGCTTAAGTGTCATTCGGGAATCGGGACCTCCAGAAGGGCTGTGCCCAAGACCCCGACCATGACCCCACCCCGCCTCACTCCCTCCTTTTTGTGTACTTTCTTGCTCGCGCATCGTCCAAAACTACAAACTCGTCCGCATTCTGTCCCCCGGTGGTGCATCAAAGGGAAAAGAAGGACCATTCACGCCTGTTCGATAAACCTTGGTCGCGAGTTCTGCGACAATGCTTGGAGCGGAGGTGAGGTGGGGTGAGGGCGGGGCGGTGAGTGTGTGGAGCACCCATAGCGAGCTCCGGAAGGCATATGGAGTATGGAGGTGGAGGATATGAAGCAGGCGACGACGCCGACTCGCAGGAATCCGGTTCTTCCGGGACCTATCCTAAGAGAAGGAAAAAGGTCGAAGGTTTACGTGAAAATTTTCCATGATGCATGTCGTAAAATTACAATTTGAAATTGTAGATTTACAAGTACTTTGTATCGGCTTCATATTGGCCACCGACCAAAGAATGGACTGTCGCAAATTCACAACATATTTTGTAAATACAAAAATCGCAACAAATCTTGTACATTTGAGAGGATATTTTTGCACAGTGCTCCCCTTTCCCCCTCCCCGCGCCCTTTCCGTCACACCAAAACCACCTCTCTCTGCGTCTTCTAGAGCACGCGCCGCCAGCCCATAGCAGCGGTGGAAGTTGTTGTTTACACGTGTAAACTGTGGGGAGGTATACTTGCTGTGGCGCGTTGAGTGAAAGGAGAGACGCACTTAGGTGGAATACACACACACACAAACCGTTTAAAATTGTATTGAAAAACAACCATCACGATTGTCGTAAATGAAATGCGCAAAATCTTAGCTTTTCTACACAAATATCTACTTGTCTTTCAAGTGAAAAATTGCCACCGTTGTGAAAAACACATCAACTCTTTCGAGTGTTAGACATAGAAAACCGAACCGTCCCCCACCCCTATGCGTGTAGTGTTGTTCATATTACCCCGATGCTCTAAAAGTTGTCGGACTCACCTCTCCCAGCACTGGAGTTTTTTTTTGGGGGGGGGGGGGGGTTGGACACCACAGCAGATAGAATATAATGAGGCAGACAGACGTACACTGTTTCTTTTCACTGTGCGGCCGAGGTTTGGAAGGCCTAACAAGCCCGCTGTCTACAGTCCGGGGGCCACATGGGGCCAGACGCGACTGCTTTTAATCCGAAGTTTTGCGCCGCGCGGCAGAGCGCATCTCCGCGGGAAATAGCCGGAAATAAAAAAAGTCGCGCGCGCTTTTTTGATTACTTTCCTTATTCGCAGTGTCGTTAAGTCCCCCGCGGGCGGCAGCTTTGGCTCTGGCAAGCTCTCGCGGCGCGCCGCCGCCGCCGGTCGGCCAGCCCCCCTCTCCCTGTCTGGCCAACAACGGAGCAGAGCGTGCAGGCAAACAACTGCGTTGGCTGGGGGTACTGGGAGCAAAGGGGAGTGGGGAGGGGGTGAAATCGGGAAAAAGAGCAAACGCAGCAGCGTGCAGCATACCGTCTGCGCGCGCGCGGACCGCCTGGCGAGGCGGGCTGGGCAGTCCCGCTGCACAGCCCGGAGACTCGATTGCCTACCTGCCAGGCGCCCTAGCCGCCCGAGCTGCACTTTTCGCTCTTTGTTTTTGGCTTTGCTGATTATTTTGGCGCTTCTTTATGAATGCCAAATTTGTATGGGTTCCTTTCAATAAAGTAACATGCAAAGATGGGCGGGTACAAATTACGGAAATCTCTGAAAAGGACCGTTAATAATTGGCATTCGTACTAACAGCTTTTGCCAATCATATATTCCAAAATTTGGCACTGAAATGGAACACGACAACATTGAAAAGCAAAGCAGGGCACAAAGTTTTCCGTGGTTTGCCTCTCGCTTGCCTTAATTATTTCCGTGCTATGATACCGACGACGGTTCTGGTTTCCAGTTTTAGTTCCGGTCGGGCGGTCCGTTTATCTACCCCATAAATGCTGCCCTCCTCCTTCACCTTTCGCTTCACCAGCAGCAAACAAACGCGCCGGAGGGAAAAACCAAGTCGTGCATGAAGTTAGCTTGCAACCGCGGCGGGACAAAAATGAAAAATGAAGAAACAAACTTATATAACTCTGTGTTTTGTCGATGGTGATTTTTTTTGTGAGGCTTTGCGAAATACTATATCTTGCACAGTGAAGTTGGTGAGGGCCACAATGGTGATGAAATAACAAGACAGAGCCAGAGCCGGACGGGCGTGGAGCGCGCCGTGGAATATATATATATCTCTCTCTCTCTCTCTCTCTCTCTCTCTCTCTCTCTCTCTCTCTCTCTCTC